ATTTTTTTCAAATTATTTTCATAAAATAATATATAAAAATATTTTAATTAAAAGCCTGATTACATTTTAATATAAAGTCTGATTACATTATAATATAAAATAATGCAATTAAATAGCTGCAGAATGACTATTGAGTATACCGTCTAACTATTTGTGAGGAATAGATTTTGTGAGAAATTTAAGCTATTATTCTATGAAATATTTGGTCATTTTGATAGCTCCAGTCCCCATTCACCTTCAAAATATGCATAAGAGCCTTTTTGGAGGCCAGTACATCCTTCAAAATGCTTCTTTTTGTGTTCCATGAATAAATGATGACAGATTTTTCATTTTTGAGTGGCCTGTCCCTTTAAGATTTCAGATCCAGTACAGGCTCATTTCAATAGCAGCATTACCCTTTTCCTGACCGTATTGATTTGTACCTTTTCAAGGGCTCTGGTGTTCCACAGAAGGATCTGTCTTGTTTCTCAGTGTCGGGAGTTTTCTTCATCTGTCCTCTCACTGGAAAAACCTTAACAAAGACCGAAAGAGAAATGCACATAAAGGAGGCCATTCTGATGGTGAGGTTATTACAGACACAATCTTGATGACTTTTTGAAGAGCTTACATGTGGATGTTCCTGAAGGTTCTGCTTTCTTCACAGAGGTTCTCAGAGGATGCGATAGAGGCCTCCATTATGATGATTCACACCTTTAATAAAGACAAAGAGAAAGTAAAGGCTGCCGTTGACGTCATTAGCAAGTGAGGACTATTTGAACCTTGCGCAACAATATCTGAGTGTTTGTATAATGTTTAACTGAAACCTGTAATGCGTGGACAGGTACGTCGAAAACATCTGTAAGAATCCGACTGAGGAAAAGTACAGGAAGATCAAACTTAGCAATAAAGTGTTTCAGGTATGAGCATTTTCACTGCCAGGATTGAGAAAAATGTCAATTCAAACAGCAAATGCACTTATATTTTGTCCTTTTATTTATGAAGGAGAAGGTCAGTGGGATTGAAGGATCTCGGGAGTATCTTCAGGCCTTGGGATTTGAAAGCACCACGCTGCCAGTAGATGGCGAAGGTAATGTGTACATAGTGTTATATTTAAGGGTAAAGTGTGCAATGTCCTCACATGCTCTCCGTCGGAATAATGTCTCTCAGACAGGACTGAGGAGTTCCTGGTGCTGCCGGCGCAGGAATCGGAGGTTCTGGAGCAGATGAAGGCTCATTTGGAGCGGCTGCAGAAGGGCGAGCCGGTCAGAGCCAAGCTGGACCATCAGACACAGGTCTTCAGACCCTCACAGCACGCCACACACTTCCAGCTTCCCCCAGACTTCTACAATCTCACCGCGGAGGAACTGAAAAGAGAACAGCAACTGAAGTAAAGAAATGAACAACGGTGGCGTTTGAGCTGTATAAGGTAATAAAAGCCTTACCGTGTTTTTATGATCTTCCTTCATCGCAGGAGTGAAATCGTGGAGAGAAACACGATGCTGCGAACCAAAGCCATGCGTGAAAAAGATGAGCAGAGGGAGAGAAGAAAGTACAACTACGTGCTTCTGAGAGTGCGGTTACCGGATGAAAATATACTGCAGGGTGGGTAGTTTTGAATTGTTATTAATTATATATACACACACACACACACACACACACATATATATATATATATACACATAAAACTAGTGTAACAAAAAAGTTAAAAATAGTGTACAAAGTTATAAAATAAAATTGAATTAAAAATTAAATTAATCTATTTTATTCCGTTGTTAGGCATTTTACACGTAATATTTAACACATTGATATAATATCTTTATTAATGGAAAAATAAATATGTATTTAACATTCTGAATTGTAATATAGTTGTAAACGGCAAAGCAAAAAGTAAATAAAATAAAAAATAATAAAACATTATAAAATTAAACAATTATTGTATTCCATTAGCAGCCATAGTTTAACCAAATATTTTCACTATACTGTTTAACATATTTATATTTCTAAATGATTTTTGCAATATAGTAGTAAACAGAACAGGAAAAAGTAAATAAAAACAAATGATATAAAATTGAAAAGTATTCTTTTGGCAGCCAGAACCAAATATTTTCCTTATAATATTTAACACGCATGTATACCATTTATAAATGAAAAATATACATTTAATATTATATATTGTAATAAAGTGTTAAACCGCAGTTTAAAAATTTTTAAAGAAAATTTAAAATGGTTAAATACTTTTGTTAAAAACTAAAATAAAAACAAATTGAAAATGAGATTAATCTCAATTATTTTATTCACTTTACAGCTATATTTTAACCAAATATTTTCTCTATTTATTAAAAATTCGTATTTACCATTTTATATTGTAATATTTTATTTTGTAAATATATATATATATATATATATTTCTAGATTTTCAGGTAAGGGGTCTTTCACAGAGGGCTTTGGCATAAAATGTTTGAATGATGTTGACAAACAGCTCAAATAGCCTTTTTTTTTAATCAAATGTGAGTTGCACATTGAAGCTTTTAAACCTTCCAGAATGCTTTGCCCCATAGATGTGTGTTGTCTTCTTTTGGCAAACTTGTTCTTCAGCATAAATTAAATTTGAAATGCTCTGCAGGCACTTTCCTGGCGTGGGAGAGGGTGGCAGCGTTGTACCAGTTTGTGCGCGATTCTCTAGAGAACGGCTGGCAACCCTTTGAGCTGATGGCACCCGGAGGACAAAAACTAAAGGATGATGAGGAATTGGCTCTGAATGAGTGCAACCTGGTAAGTCAAGTTTAAACAAAAGTCCACAATGTTTAATTCGATACAAAATGATCAATTTGTTTTCACCTTCCAGGCCCCAGCAGCCGAGCTGACCTTTTCATGGGACGCCGCAGTGCAGGCAGACATCGCTGCAGCCGGAGGAAAGAATGCTATTCTGCTTAAAGCAGCACTGTTAGAGAACATCAAGATCCTGAGCTGAACATTTAGTCTTGCTGTGTCTCCCTGGTCACTGCTGTCCCTGCCTGCGCTCTCGCCGCTCCTAGTCCACCACCACAATCCCACACGGTTTCACAGGATGAGCCCGATACATTGAGTGTGTCCACGGCATGTGCTAGGTAGATTTATATGGTGCTAAACACAGGTTTTCCTGTCAGTGATGTTATGTGGAGTGTTAGCACCGTATGGGCCAATTTCCAAACAATCTGTTCTGTTCTAATGCATTGTTGCTTGAGGCATCATGACCAGTCATTATATGACGGAAGATGCTCAGTTCGGTTGGAAATGGTCTTTAAGAGGATCTCGTCGTTTAAAGCACTTTATAGCTACTGCCGAGAGAGAAATGTCGATGTACCATAAAATCTCATTGTGACAACAGAAACAGTTTGAAATGTATCTAACATGAGCTCTACCCAGTTCTGATCGTCTTTTGTGCTTTATTTCCTGCTTAACATAAATGAAACTACGCATGAATGTTACAACGCAACTTAAATTAGACAAAAAGCTCTGGTCTCCAACAATCTACCTCCTAATGCAGATAAATGTCCACTCATTTGATTTGTCAACATGTCAGCTAATTGACTTGTATAATAAAGCCCAAAGTGTATGGTGCACGTGACAAATTTCATTTATTTATTTTTTTTGCACTAGTTGTCCTCACGTTTGCAACACTGGCCTATCTGTGAATGTGCAAGATTTCCACTTCATTAGCCACTAGATCTAAACTAGAAGAATAATAGAGTAATAATAAAGCGCAGTAAACTGTAAAACTGTTTGTGCTACAAACGTGTGTTTATGGTTATGATAATGAATTAAAATATGATAAATATCAGTTTGCAATTTTTAGCAGCATAACAGCTAAGATAACGAAGTGATAAACACCGGAAGCCTTGCATTTACAAATGGTTATGTTAAAAATGACTTCTGGAGAGAAACAGCAGAGACACTAGACGATAAATATATTTACCAATAAATGAATATATTTTGAAAAGCTATGTGATGGCATCAAAGCTCCACCTGATTTTTAAACACAAAAGTAAACCATTTACCATCAACATGCAAGAATTTTGCTTCATTAGAAGCTGGTTAAATTATAACTAGCAGTAAAATGGTAAATTATTGCGTTACAAACAAGTGTTTATAATTATGAAAAATATAACAAATACCAGGTTGCAATATTATGGAGTACAATGGACCGTGTTTGTAAAGTGGCTGACACCGGAAACCTTGCACAGTCAAGTTAAAAATGCACCTGCTTTTGTGAATACTTTGGGTATTAGACTGATTCCGTTGCAGAAGAATATTGTCACCAGCTTGTTCCTTTATTAAACCATGCTATATTAAAAATGAACAGTGCTTGTATTTTACATTATTTTGTCAAGTTCAAAATGTTGTGTTCTGTTGCATTTGATGTGATGTATGAAATAAAATGCATTGTCGAATGTGATGCGTGTATGTGAAAAACCAAATGTAAAAGTAACTCTTGTACATGTGATCACATGGAAGGAAAATGTCTGTTAACAGCATATTAAAAAAATATTCATTTTTAAATAATGCTTTATTTAAACAAGCTTTGTAGGAAACCCATTGTAGCAAACTACGGCGCAGTTTATTTCGAGACAATTAAGAAAACACTTCACCAAAAGAAATGCCAATGCCGCTGTTTTTTCCCGTTAGATGGCCACATACTATTTGAGCTTCTACACCATTGTTCAAAAAAACTAAAATAGTATTTACACCACATAAGGCAGCCTGGGCAACAAATGGCATAAGCTGTTTTTATACAAAGCCTCTTGGAACAAGGGAAAAACTTCTAGTGGGCTAAAGAAGTTAAGATGGGGGTAAAAGAAAAAGAAACGCAAATGGAATATAAAAGTGCAACATATTTCAATTGTCATTATTTTTGAAAGACATACACCATTTCAAGTATTCTGAGAGAGAAAAAAATTTAAGGATTTAAAACAATGGTGCCGAGCGCTGAACCCAGCAGACAGCATCAACCTCCTGATGTGTCAGAGCTGATGAATGTACCAGCAGAGTCTTTACACGCTTTCAAAAAGTGGGACCTCTCCTATGAAGAAGAGCAGTAGACCATCTAGCACATCTCCACTTAAAGAAGAGGAAACAAATTATTAATTCCAGGGACCTTTAATACGGTATGATCCTTCGAACTGTAGATCAGATTTTGAGTGTCTGCTTCACATGCATGCAAACCCAACAAGAAGGGGTCAGATCTCAGGCGGTGGCTGGGGTAAGGCAGGGTAGGGCAAGAGCAGCAGTTTCGGATGCATTCGTGTCCATGGGCTCCGTGTTTCTCTTGGTTTGTCGCAAGGATGTGTTGGCATCCTGTTCAGAGGATCCTATGAGGAAAAAACACATTTATCAAGCTAATTCTGGCAGATTTGTTTGTTGTCAAGCTTTATTAGCAACATACACCAACCAGATTGTTCCCCAATGATGATGCAATCATCGTCTTCATCATCTTCAGTGTCTGCTTGGAAGCCATCGGTCTCCATGGTCTCAGTCTAAATACATTGTGTAATAAACAGCAAAGTTAGCAGAAGACAAATGGGTAGTAAGCCAAAAAAAAAAAGTCTTCAACACTGCACCTGTTCAGAGTAGCCACATTTCTTCATGTACTTCGTGATGGAGTGGCTGCTGGCGCTTTTCCTCTTGTTGGAGGGTGTGGTGGAACTGGACGTGGTGGGCGAGTTGCCCTGTGAGCCGGCGTGCTCGTCGCGGGTAATCTGAGCGCCGGAGGTGAGGTAGGTCCACTGGCAGGGAACGGACAAGGCTTGCTGAGAATGACGGGCCAGAACTTCTGGATGCACGTACCAGCAGCATCGTCTGTAAGTGGAGCGCTTTTCGTACACGGCATGCTCCTTTATGATACGCCTGATTTGGATCCTTTTGCCAAATAATAAGACAATATGCTTAGAAATGTGTTTTGTGTAGCTTCATAATTCTGACATGCTCCCATAAACACTCCTCAGAGTGCAACTGGAAGTCAATGACAACATGTTTTCCAGGCATTAGGCAAATGATTCATTCAATTTACTAAGAAATATACACCAAAATAACAACAAATTCCATCTTCTTGAATGTCCCAATGTTTTTGTTTTTTTAAAATGGGGTTCTGGCAAATGCCTGAAATAAGGGTTTGTTTTTAACAAAAGCTCACGATATTTTCATGTTTTACTCTGACGACATAAAAAGCATCAGTAATACTCTGTGATTTCTGTAAGCTTGTATATGCCTTTAAACAGGCTGTTACAAACAAGTGGCTAAGGGGGAGTACAGATGTTATCAGGGACATTAAAGGTCATCACAAAACAGGAAAACTCAGTCTACTTTTACAGCCTCATTGTTTATAATAAAGCTCTTTCAAACTACTCAAACTTTCCAATTTATCCCATCACTAGCTTTTGTTTTTAATTTATTTCTGATTGTATTTAAGCTTCAAAATTAATAAAAGTTGTTAATTTGAGAAGATTGAAAAAAAAATTATAATAATAATAATTTTTTAAAAAAGTAAGAATTTTAAACTTGTGTAGGTCACAGCGCTTATTTTCTGCAGTAATCCAAAAGCCAATGGCAAAATCTTGTTTTGTCAAGGGAACTGGGTTGATGCTGACTTTCAGTATGACACTGTAAGCTGGTTTACCTGGGTGGGACATTGTCATTACAATTCTGAGGACTTTCTGTGGGTGAGGATGTTTGCTGGCGACAGAATTCCAGGAACTCGTTGATTATGACTTTACTGCTGTTCACATTCCCATGCAGCAAGGGCAGCAGCTGTGACAGCACTGAAGAGACGTGAGAAACACATTAACATCTCAGCAATACATGTGAGAGGATTTTACAATGCAACTGTATTAAAGGCATGTAATGAAGGCAGTTTACTTTTGTTCAGGAATGCAAACCAAGTGGATAGTGAAAATAATTGTTTTGCCCATTTTTGGGTGAATTTTCAAGAAGGGTCTGGCTGCAGACATGCACTTGCACTCTCAGACACCTGCACTTCTGCAAGTGACGTCACTTGCAATCTTTTTTTATTTACTTTTTTAATTCAATCTCATCATTTTACAAAAATAGCCAGGTGGTGAAGACAAGAAAAAAAGAAAAGAAAATTACAATGTTACGTGTAATCGCCACCTGCGACGTCACTTGCAATCAACACAAATCATGCGTGTTGCCAATGGAGACAAGACACTGTGGAGGTTAAACGATTAAAAATAATTTAGTACCAAAGCGTACAGGGTCCTGCAAGTCACCTGTAGGAGAAAAAGACAAGACCCACTAATCCGTGGCTACAGAACAGCAGAATATTATTATTATTATTATTATATAGCATATTATTATTTAATATTATTTAATTTATATAGCACTTTGAGTATTGCTGTACACCCAAAGTGCTTTACAATCATGTGGGGGGGGGGGTGCCAATCAAGTGGTTGGGGATTATTAGGAGGCCATGATTGACAAGGGCCAGTGGCAGCAATTTGGCCAGGACACTGGGGTTACACCCCTACTCTTCACGAGATGTGCCATGCAATTTTTAATTACCACAGAGAGTCAGGACCTTAGTTTAACATCTCATCCGAAGGATGGTGCTTTTTACAGTACAGTGTCCCCGTCACTATACTGGGGCGCTAGGACCCACACAGACCACAGGGTGAGCACCCCCTGCTGGCCTCACTAACACCACTTCCAACAGCAACCTAGTTTTCCCAGGAGGTCTCCCATCCAGGTACTGACCAGGTTGCAGGGTGATATGGCTGTGGAACACAATGCGCAGTCTCTCATTAAGCGTTTTCCTCCCGTAGAAAACCATAAACACTTAATATGGCTTAACACTAGAACCCGTGGCTGTTTTTAAAACGTACATAAAAGATTTTTATTAAAACATTCAAGTCTTCCAGTCCCTGACTTTTACTAAAATTGTGTGATTTACAATCCCCTGTTGTTAAAAACTGTTTAGATAAAACCAGATTAAAAAATGGGGCATTTATACCTATAAGCGCGGGTCAAATTTACCCGCTATATAATGCCTGTATGTTCGTGCTGTCATTTTCGTGCCGCTTATGTTTTAATATAGTACATTGCTAGGCAACGCCTTTCACTCATTGAATTAGCGGTTATCAGTTTCATAAATATAGACAAAATGAGTAAAAGGCAGCGATTTATGAATGTTGAAGAGGTATAAGAAGCACTAAATGCCATGAACGATAGAGAGTCTGATGGTGGGGAGATAAGTAAAGCGTCCTGTCGGCTCAGCATCTGACGGCGATCAATATATCATATTTAGACGTTTTATCCTAATGTTACTCATAATTGTTCAAAATTTGGATTAATTATTTAATTTTTGTTTAGCCATTTCTACTGTTTATTGTTCACTTCTGTGTTGCTATTTATTCTAGTCTGCCAGTTTCCTGAAGAAAAAAAATCCGATCTGATGTAGGCTAATGAATGTTTTTAAATAATTAAATTTTAATAAATTGATTACCCGAAGTTTATTGGTGTTCTTCTTGTATAATTCAAATTATAAATGCTATAACTAAACATATTAATTATTAATTAGGTAAAGCTGTGCGCTTGAATTTGTCATTGCACCAATGTGGTGAATTATTATTGCTCATTATTGTCTATAGGCTATTTTAGTCATTTAATTAACATAGGTTATCTTAATATATTGATTAATGACATTGTATTTACTTCCTTCTAATTCTCTATTTGATGACTCGACAATCATTTCATGACTCTAGACCAGAGCTTCCCAAACTTCAGAGGGGTAAGGCCCCCCAAAAACATAGCAAAAGCTCCACAACACTGAAAAGAAAACTTGGTTTCCGCTGTAAACAAAGCAGTGCTGCACTTATGAACTTTACATTTACATTTAGTCACTTTGCCGACGCTTTTATCCAAAGCGACTTACAATTGGGAAATACATAAAGCGATTCTTCTTAAAGAGGCAAACAGACACAGGAAGTGCTTGAAATACCAAGTTTTAGGCATTGTTCAAATACGTACAAGCTAGAGAAAGGGACAGAATAAATAAAAAGAAAGAAAAAGTTTTTTTTTTTTTACCACGAGGCATCACTCACTAGCGGATCTCTGACTTCTGGAGGGGATGTAGATTCGTAATAGTGAGTGGAAGTAGGCGGGTGCTGAGCCTGAGGCTGTTCTATATGCAAGCATCAATGTCTTGAACAGGGCTTTAATATGCAGGGCTCCAGACTGCGACCATTTTCTCTGCCTGTGCGACAATTTTGTGCGCGGTCGCACTGGCGCGACAACCGCGTTGGTCAACTCATAAGCGCTTCCATTTCTGTTGCATGTGAGAAACATCAAAGGGCAAACGAAACTGAAAGCTTAATGTAAAGAGGCAAACAGACACAGGAAGTGCTTGAAATACCAAGTTTTAGACATTGTTCAAATACGTACAAGCTAGAGAAAGGGACAAAATAAATAAAAAGAAAGAAAAAGTTTTTTTTTTTTTACCACGAGGCATCACTCACTAGCGGATCTCAGACTTCTGGAGGGGATGTAGATTCGTAATAGTGAGTGGAAGTAGGCGGGTGCTGAGCCTGAGGCTGTTCTATATGCAAGCATCAATGTCTTGAACAGGGCTTTAATATGCAGGGCTCCAGACTGCGACCATTTTCTCTGCCTGTGCGACAATTTTGTGCGCGGTCGCACTGGCGCGACAACCGCGTTGGTCAACTCATAAGCGCTTCCATTTCTGTTGCATGTGAGAAACATCAAAGGGCAAACGAAACTGAAAGCTTAATGAAACAGCGCTTAGAGAGTATACTCGCCACGTCAGCACGAGCGCGAAGCTCTGCGCAGCAAAAATTACAAGCATATTGAGGAAACGATGGATGGTTTTCAAGCGAAAGTCAAGTAAAAGACCGCTTCTTAAACCAGAGAAGGTGAACATGCTGGTATTCTTGTGGGGAGAGAAACATGCAAGCACTGTCACCGTTAGTTTTACTTTTCTTTTTGTTTTTAAACTTATCTTTGCTGTTTACCTTAAGCTATGGAGGCTCTCGTTTATTTATTTGATTCCTCAGTGTTTGCTAAATGTTCTGTAATTTATTAGTCGGTATATAATACAGCATGTGTGTGCCATGCCTCATCTTATTCGTTTTTGTTAATAAACGTTTTGTAAGCTAGTTTGTCATGGTATCTCACTGATTTTTTATTGTTGTGCTTTTTGATTAAGAATAACAATGAATCCATCTTTTGATTTAGTCTTAAAAAAATGAAAGGTGTGTAGATGAAAGCAAAACAGTGACAACAAGATCGCGAATTCGAAAGCAGTGGGAAGAATGAGTCTGGAGTCCTGATATGCATTATACAGAGGCAAGAGGAAAAGAAAAAATACCATCGAAAGACAGTAAGCTCCCCTCAGACATACATTCATATAAACTCCTACCCTAACTGAATCGCGATTTGTTGAGCATCTCAACCGATTTGAATCGTTACATATTTAAATCGATTTTCAACCGGCTCGCCGTTAATCGTTACATCCCTACAATTCAATAAACAACAAGTTAATATTAAGTGACTTACATTGTCTGACTAGAACACTATTGTCTGATTTTGCTCCATTTCGTCGTCAAAAATAGTTTGAAACAAAGACACAGCTCAGCCGCTGGGCATCTCCATTCAAACACAGCGGTGTCTCGTTTATGATCTGCGTTTTTAAACGAATCTAGTGAGTCAGTGATTCATGATTACCTGTTCATAAAGACAATCACTTGATTCATTCCTGAATGAATCAGCCGTTCGAATGAATCAATTGAATGAAT